TAGCCAGAACTTCCTTGGAGAGGGCACATAGCAAGTAGGGAAAGAGACCAGTGTGATCACATTAATATTCTGCCACCCCCTTCAGGACAACGTCCCTCCTTACAGAAATGTAAAACAGAAAAATAACCATAGACCCCTTGAGCAGAATACCATCACTTTAAGTGTGCCAAAACAGCTCACTGACTTTGTCCACGGATCTATTCTCCTGTGACTTTCCACATTGTTCTGACACAGGTGGGGGACAGTTCAACTTTGTAGGCTCAGATGGTAGCCCCAGATGTCTGAACACTGTTTTATCTAAAATCTGGTTCCCCAGAGCTGACATTCATTCACTGTTCTCTTTAGCACAGCTCAGTGGTAAGATCAGATACAGTTCCTCAGAGGAAACTATACAATGAACCCTGTGTGAAAATCAAAACAACTAAAAGGCAGCAACAGAAAATACCCCATAAAATAAGCAAATATAAGCTTCCCCCCATTAATACCCACAAAGCAAATTCTAAATAAATTGGAACTTCAGTGCTTCCCTCTGCAGTGTCTCATTCTGTGCAGTCACTGCGTTGTCACTGAGGCTGGACCACACTGCTGCCGCTCAGGTATTGAGAAAGACAGGAGCACAGCAGAGGAGGTGGATGAAACAAAATGTTAAGAAGTGGCCTTCATTCAGGCTCGCCAGGATGCGACTCGAAGTTCCTTTAGTTCCTCCTAGGGGTCACTTCCACTTTCCCTGCAGGAGTGGAATCCCCTGGTGCCACCTCCAGGGACCAGTGCTCAAAGCCAAGGCACATGGGGATTGTACCAGAGGCTGCAGCGTTACACTGCTACACCTACCATGTCTTTTCCTCTGATGTTTGAAGCTTGATCACACAAAGGAAAGACACAGAATCAAGATTAAATAGGAAAAAAAGAGGGAATGGAGCAATGAAGAAAATTCAAGGCACAGTGACATAGATTAGCTGAGTGCAGTGGTGGCAGCAGTGTAGTGGTTCCACGCTATTAGTTTTTGTCAAGTCAGGAGCAGTTTGAAGCTTATCAGTGAAGGACCAGAGCCAGAGGAAAACGCAAGCAGTGCTGACAGAATTATTGTTCTTTATAACTAAAAAGCATGATGCAAAAATGAGGAGGGCTGGGCCTCCCTTTGGAAATGGTGTGCCTCTTCCTTGCTGAGGGGAAGGAGCTGGTAGTGGCAGGTGCTCCCCACACAGGCCCCGCAGTGACCCTGCGAATCCACACCAGAAGCAGATGTCATCATTCCCACTTGAATCAGCCTATGCAATTACTGAGTTATTGCAGTTTCTTTTTCATGTGAAGTCTAGAAATCCATCGTGTATCTTACATTTATGAAACATCTCAATTCAGAGGAGCCAAGTTTCAGGTGTTTGGTAGCACACATAGCTGTGGCCGTAGTGTGGACAGAAGTGAGAGAATGATAAGCACAGGTGGTTCTGCCTGTGTGCTGACTCTGCAGCGCCTCTCAAGTCTGTCCGCTTCCTACCGCAGTGCCCTAACTCAGGTCCTGGTCACCTCCCACCCTGATGCTCCCATGACTTCCTGTCCAACCCATTTCACCTACACCTTATACTTCCTGCTGCCAGTCAGCTGCCTCGCTACATTCTGCTGCACCTTCGCTGTACCACATTTCCTACAAAAGCCCTAACTCGTGTTTATGTTAGCTTGTCCTTAACTGCTCACTGCTCTTAAAAGCCTGTGCTGAGGCTGGCTGGGAACGTGGCTCAGGGGCAGAGTGCTTGCCTCACGTGTGTTAAGCCCTGGGTTTGATCCCTAACACTGTAAAACAAACCAACAAATAAAAGCTTGTGGTAGTTTATATGCCAGTCATGCCTGTATTCCTGGTACGTGGTATTCCAATATGGAATGCTCTGTAACACATCTTTCAAGGCTCGGTGACGGTGGCCAAGGATGGAAAGCCTTCCCCAAAGTACTTCGCTAATGTTTCATTTTTGCCACTTAAAACTACAAGTGATGGCTTTGCAGTCTGGGGTGAGTACCTCATCCTCTCCGGACAGCAGGTACTTCTGCGTCACCCTTCAGGGCCTCCCACGTGACAGACACCCTACACTGTTTGCTGACATTGCAACAAACAAAATTGAGCCATATTCAGAAAATCTGTGTAACCAACTGCTGTTGTTTTCCTAGCTCACAATAGTAAAGCAGCGCGAGCAGCCAGAAATGGTTTTTCGACAGTTCCTGGTAGAAGACAAAGGACTTTATGGAGGATCATCTTACGTGGATTTCCTTTGTTGTGTACACAAGGAAATATCTCAGCTGCTTAACTGAATCATCTCTGTTGTTGAGTTGTATTTCCAAGGAGACAGTCTCCTTCCTGGTGCCTAATTCTGCCAGTGACAGTAGGTTAATTGTCTTTTCCTGATCATTTTCAGAATAGCTTTCCAAGATGGCATTTAGAAGTTCAGTTTTGGTGCTAAAGTATAAAGCCAATGAAGGTACAGTTGTACCCTAAAGAAAACAGCCTATTTCTGACTGCACACTTTTTAATTTCTAAAACTGACTCAGTTTGCATTTCATGAAAAGTATGGTGTCTTAGTCCCTTTGTTGCTGAGACGAGATGCCCAACACCCACCACGTACAGAGGGGAGGCTTACAGTACAGTCCACGGTCGTGGTCAGCTTCAGGGCCACAGCAGCACGCAAAGGGGCGCAGAGGAGGAAGGCCGCTTCAGTTGTGGTGGCCAGGAAGCGGAGTGAAGGGCAGAGCCAGGGAGAGAGGCATGCTTCCGGGTCGCATGCAGTGCCCCCTCTCCAGCCAGGCCATGCCTAACAGCCGGTCAGCTGTGAACCCATCAGTGGACCAATCCCTGTGAGGACAGTGTCCCCACGACCCAGTCACTTCCGAACACGAGAATTTCTGAGGCCATTTCAGATCCAAACCATGATATATACTTTATACTCTCAATGTTCTTTGTCTTAGACATATAAATTATTTTTCAAACTGTATAGATTTGAGGTAGTGTCGTCTTGGTTTTTCTCCCATTTGCCACAAGGGGAGAAAACAAATTTTACAGTATACCTAATTTTTAAAACATATAAATCCAATGAACACATTTTCAGTCTAAAGTTTGCACAGCAAACTTTTAGTAACCTTGGAATCTGATAGAACAGTTTTTGTTCTACTTTGTCAAAGCTATTTTCCAGTTGTCTTATCTATAAAACTGTCTTTATCAATATTCACAATAGCTCTTTGTACAATTTTACAGTTTCTACTTGTACATAATGGATCTTAGCCAGTATCAATAAATCACTTCATATACTCTGTGTAGAACTATTCATTTTTATATATATTACGATTTTAAAAATAAGGATAGTACTCAAAAGGGGCAAAAAAATTGGATGGATCACAAAATTCAAGATAAAATGTTTTTTTCAACATTGACAAGTGAGGGCTGGAGGTATAGCTAGCGGACTAAGCCCTTGCCTAGGTAAGCACAGGGGCCAGGGTTCGATCCCTGGCACCACATGCTGTGCTGGCCCCGCCCCCCAGGCACACTCAGCCGGTGATGGAGTCCAGGTGTGGTGGCATGGACCTGTAATCCCAGCACTAAGGAGGCAGAAATCAGATGGATCACTACAAGTCTAAGCTGCATAGAGAGATCCTATACACACACACACATACACACACACACACACACACACACACACACACACACACA